GCTGTCATAAAGGTTCTTTAGACAGCTTCCAACAACGCTATCAGTACTATATTATGAAACAGCGATGGCAGCATCGAGTCAAGAATGAGCAGTTGACGCGCTGATGACCACTGGTCTGAGAAAACTATAAGATGAACTCCGAGACCGGCGCATCGCTTGATTTGACAAAATGACCCAAAAAGAGAATGGAAATACAGTCGAAACTTTTCTCTTCTTGGAACCTTGCAATGGCCACACAATCATCTGAGGACAATACAAAACGTGAAAAGACTTCACCGACGCAGATCTACTTAAGAAAAGGAATACGGCCTATGCTGAAGCAATTAACATTTCCTAATATCAATCTGAGGTACCACTCCTAACGTTACTCCGTTGTTTAAACACTGTTAACCTTAAGATGACGAAGACAAAGCAACAACTGTATACAATACAACATACGATGTAGTCATTATCGACGTCCTTCGGGCCGGCACTGTGGTACACCCTGTAAGCCTTACAGACTTTCTCCACTTGTTCTTTCGATCCGGTAAACCCGACTAACTTTGGTGAAAACTCTAAATGCAACAGCATTCATTTAGCGATATATTACTAAAACAAAGAAAAAATACCCTCGACGTAGCGTTTCACGGCTTCCGGCGTGTCGCGATCAGGATCGACCGAGAAAAACATCGGAATGATGTTCGGGAAATTAGCATCTTTTTCTACAAAGAAACTAATGTCAAACGGGAAGACCGAAAGAAAGCATCACAGCCCAATAAAATCAAAGCCCTGATATCCAAAGTTTAGCAAAGCAAATAAAGGAAGTCATCAAATGTAGAACAGTTTTCTATAAATTTTAATCTGTAGACAATTCCTTCTATGAGATTTATGAATAGTTAACGGCGTCTATAATAAACAAGATAGATATTTTTTATTTTATGATGGATAAACAACGGCGCGGAAGACAACAGACTCAAAACAGTAGCACCACTTAAGACAAACTAATTTTTTTAATCTACACAGCATTCAAGCGGTTATAAATTTGACTTAACGGCTAATATATAAACAGAATAACTCTGAAAATGAACCACATGGGAGCGAGATTGAAAAGCTTTTGTAATTTTACAATATAGCATGCATTTCATTTCACTTGGTCGGCGTTATGACGGATTACGGTACTAGCAACCTCTTGCGCTGCCAGAAGTGCGTTGCTCAGTCGGGACACAATGGGATTCATAGTCGAAAAATCGCAGGTTGGAATCCCGTCCACCGAGGCAGATAAACGAATATTAGAAAACCAATGATGGAGGAAGAAAACATGACACGCTATTCTTGCTGTCACTTGTAGTTAAAGGCAGGTGTACATAAAAACTTCAGAAATAAAGCATCTCTGGCAAACGGCATAACTAACGGATATCAGTGCCAAGAAAGAAAGAACGGAGACATAAGACATAAGAGACATAAGACAGTCATCACGGAAGTATAAAAGAGATCCAGTGGTTATAAACTTTTCTTCTGCCTTTACTGTTTACCACGCAACGGAAATCATACAAATAGAATAATCAAGAAGGATACCTATCAAGGTTCAACTCGCTGTTCATGTAAGGATGCGAGGGCAGAACAAAAGTCTACAGTGGCGACGGCAAACGTGAAAAAGTAAAGGAGAGGAGAACGCCTTGAGCAAGCGTGGTGATGATAACGGCTTGTCGCCAGGAATTCAGAATTCCTTGCGCTTGGACACCAGAAATAGAAAATGATCAGTGAAAATAACTATTGTAGAACGTATGGGAATATTAGTAAATATGAGGATTGCATCCTTGCTACTTCAGTGAGCACTGCATTCTCACCCTTGAGAATGATCTCTACTCATGGCAGTGAACACAGACGGTGGATCAGCAATGACA